TATTCTATTCTATTCTATTCTATTCTATTCTATTCTATTCTATTCTAATTCTATTCTATTCTACCTTATGATTCTTGATGAATGTATCTTTCTTTTATGTACACTGAGAGCATTTGCACCAAGACAAATTCCTTGTGTGTCCAATCACACTTGGTCAATAAAGTATTCTATTCCAATATGGAGCCTCTGCAACATGACCATTTAAGTATCTCAACGACAACAGGAGACTCTAATTCAGTCCACCCACCTTTTCTGAATACTGCCCTATTTGGGGACATTATTCCAGTCTGGTATATATTGAGACCAGTCTGGTATAAATCAGCACATGCTGGGAAAGTCGATATTGTTCTGAATGAAGCTAGCAGAATTATTACCGGATATCTTGAATCAGGGTGTCAAACTGGATTTCTTCGAGGGCCAGATCAGCATTGGAATTATCCTCTGTGGGCTGGTGGGGGGGGGGGGGGGGGAAAGGACGGGAGATGGAATGGACACCTAGTGCAGCACCCTGCTGGCTAAAACAGGGCACATGGGGGCATGTGAGGCCACCTCTGTCCCGTTTTTGGCCTGAATGACTTCCTGCAGCACTTTACAGGTCAAAATGGGGCGTGGGACCCTTGCATGGCCCATTTTCAGTCTCCTTGCCTTCCAGCAGCACTCTGATGGCCAAAAATGGGCCACACACAGACCTCCTGTGGGTCCCGCGCTACCTTTTTTCAGTCTCCCTGGCCTCCAGCAGCATTCTACTGGGCAAAACTGGTCCACAGCCCATTTTGGGCCAGCAGAGTGCTGCAAGAGGCCAGGGAGGCCAAAAACAGGCTGCAGGGGGACTGCACCTGGCCCATTTTGGCTGGCAGAGGCACTGTGGGCCTGTCCTTTAATATTTCCAGGCCAGCCCCACAGGTCAGATTTAAGCACCCCTGTGTTAAACCTACCCCTCCTGAAAGGGTGCATTTATAGCTCAAAACATGATTGAACCTATGATTTTTGGCTGATCACAAGCGACTGAGAAAATGAGTTTCTTCTAACTGTTGATAAAAACCAACTATCTGAAGTTCATATGGACATTTGTCCAGTTCTCCCTTTTTTCCAAAAAGAATTTGGCAGTCAGGACCTTGCAAACAACTGCTAATTTTGACCAAAATACCTTGGCAGTAAAATGCTGGTATTCTGCTAATCTCAAACAAAGTTTTCTCCAAAAAGGAAGACATTTGGAATGACCAATATGATCAGAATGCAGACTCCTGAGCAAGAGCCCAAGGCGAGAAGGCATAAAGTTTTGGTAAAGGACAGAAGAGCAACAACTGGCAATGGCAAAGTGTACTGTACCCTCCTCATATCCCTGCCTTGGCTAGGAGCTGGGATCTCCAGAAGATCTGGGTATCTC